GTCCTCGAGGCTGCTGGCGTCGCTCCCTCTGCTCCCATCGACAGTGCCATTGAGCGCCCCGGCTGCTTCGGGGCCCCACGAGTTGTTGGAGACTTCCTTCTCGTGGGACTGCCCGCCCTTCTTCCCTCCCTCGCTCTTCTTCCGCCGCCTTGGGTCCGTCTCGGGGAGGTGCGCGTCGGGGACACGAAGGGGGGCATAGCGGGGCTGTAGGAGGGATGGGAGATCGTAAGAGCAGTAAAAGGTCGCTCGAATCATGCAGAAGCGTCCCGTATCCATGCGATAGCCGCAACTGAGTCGAGACGAGCACATTAGCGCGAAAGGGAGGAAACCCAACACCAGGGGCCCGGCGTCTTCCTCCTCCAGGTCAAAAACTGTCACGCACGATCCAAAGCCCGAAGCCCCGAACTGACTGCTTACTAGGGGAAACCAGGGACACGCGCATGCATAAGTTTACCTCTTGATGACGAAGCAAGAATGGGGTCGAGGTTCCCGAGCCGCTGCCGCCGTCCTTCATGTGCCTCGTGAGGATGAGCGCGGAGGGGTCCATCACAGCCAAAAGGGAGGATGCCAGGGCTGTAAGAGGAAAAGAAAAGATAAACGTGGTCAATGTGTGCAGTTGAAAACAACACTAACCTCGATTTCCCTCCGATTGATGATACTACTGTCATAGATCGTGAACAGAAGTTGTCTTGAAAGGTGTGCCTTCGCACTCGCTCTTTCCCACCCTTTGGGTCCACTTCTTACCGACAATGAGCAAACCCGCAGCTAAGCTCCAAACTGACCATGTTCTGGTCTCTTGGTTAGGCCACGCAGGAAATATGGTCATGGCAGCACCACGGTGGTATCTAGGGGAAAGACCCCCGGCAAGGCATTGAGAAGGAAAAGAAGGAAGGATCGATTTAGAGAACGAGACACCGAGCAAATGATGCGCACTTTATGAATAATTTAAGCTCAGGCTGTTGCGTGTGCGCGAGCAAAAGAAATATTACTGGCGACAGGAAAGTGTCCTTGAAAGCCCTTCTGCCGGATCCGAGAAGTTCGAATTAGCGAGTACACCGGCTTCTTTTTCCCTACTCCGTCCCAAAGATGAAAAAAACCTCCAACAGTATACCTTTGTAGATGTAAAAAGTTTACCACTGTCTTCATAATGTGGCGGGTTGGGAGGGTTTGGGTACAATTTAGTCAAATTCGTGAGTATTTTGGGCCCACCCGCAGGAGGGGAACGGGGCGGGGCCCATTAGCACTGTGGATTGTTGCCTTGAGCATCGTCTCTTTACAGGAAGAAAGGCGAGCCACCATAGGATTTGTCCGATAACTACAGTGGCAAAATTTAGTGTTGTGGTCGTTGCTTGCCTGCAGGCTTGTTCATGCTTGCGTTCCTATTTGCGCCGCCCACGCGTAGGAACACCGGGTACTCGCCCATTTCCTTCCTCCTCGGAAGTTCTCTCAGAAAGTTTCGCGCCAAAAATGCCCACATTAGAAAATAGCGCCACCTTTGAGGACGCAAAAACCTGGTATCCGTGGTATCATAAGTCTATCCTTGTCTGAAAGGAGATACGCATTACATTTTTGACTCGTCTTCACCTGTAACCTCGTGGAAAAAAATATCAAGCCCCGTTAAAAAACGAGGCGCGGCACCGAAAGCCGTCACGGGACTTTTCCTTTCCCGACAATTTTTGTCGAAGCCCGAGGACGGAGACAGCAGGGGCCCTCGCTTTGGCCACGTTGGGCACCACAAAAGACCAAAACCAAGCGTGCAACCATAACTACGCTCGCTCCGGGCTAACTTCCCATACTAGTTGAACTACCTTCTTGTCTGAAGGAGCTGGTCGCCCATGGTCGGTTTTGGTGCTTGTAAAGGCAATGCAATGCTGATGCTGATCCTTCTCAGAGGGAGCAGCCGATCCTTGTTTACCCAGTGGAAGTCTCTCTCCTTCTTGGTTCTTATATCGCGAGTACCAATCCATCTATCGCTTTGGATGCCTTTCCTGTTATCCTACGAGGTCTCGTATGCGTTTTTGTCATGACTAGGGCTAAATTTCTTATACAGAATCAAATTCCGACACAGCCTCTCGATCATCCAGGGAGGCGAGAAGGACGACGAGGCGCCCCCCATTTCTCTAGACATTTTCCTTTTCAACTAAAAGGAACATTTCCATCTGTGTCGATTTTAGATCTTACCATGTGGCACAAATTTCCTTTTCACCAATGCTGACTGTTTTTTCCTTCGGTCTTCTTTACCTACAATAGGCAGCAATCTTAGCAGCAACGTACGCAGCTCGCCTTCCCTACCCCCCCGACACGTCGACACAACCTTACATCGTTAAGTCCTCTTTCCCCCTTCCGACTTATCAAGTATGCAGTCTCTTCGAATTGCCAGCGTCGCTGGTCTTTTACTAAGCATGGCATGCGCTCCAGTGTCGGCGGAGGTCCCCGGTGGAGCTCTTCGCGGTGGGAACAGCACTACTCGGAGTTTGGCGCCTCAGGTAGGACAAAAGAAGGAAGGAAAAGGGTCACGGGGTCTCTAGAAAGCGAAGGAAAGACCGACGTGGGTTAGAAAAAAGGGTGGAAGTTTTATCGGGAGTGTGATGACGTGCACGGAGCAAAGAGGGAGGAGAGGAAAAGGGGAAGGGGAAGACGGGATGACTGAGGGAAGTGAGAAGTTGAGACAGAGCGAACGACGCAACCATGGAACGTGCCGAAATGTGTCGTCGGGATAGATGCTTCATGTCAGGGTGGCGTCGGAATTCAAGGGATCGCTTGACGGGTGCATGGTCCGGAGGGGCATCGTCAGGAAGGAGAGGCGACCTCCCATCCTCCCTCCCTCCATCCCTCTTTCCCTTTTTTTCCCTTTTCTCTCCTCTCTCTCTACTCCCTCCTGCCAGTGCCTGTATAAGGACACGTTGGAGTGGACCTCGTCTCCCAACGGGGCCGTGCTTCTGAATGGAAATGCCTTCCACATCAAGGGTAAGTTACTCTGGGAAGGGAAGAGAGAAGAAGTGAAGCACATTTTGCCTGTGAAGGATTTTATTGAACGCCAAGCATAGATAGGGAGGATACGTGGAAAGGGAGGAAAGGAGGAAAAGCCTGAGAGGGGGGGGAAGACAGGGGAAGAAAGGGAGTATGGGGCGAAGGGTGGAGGGAGGGAGAGAGGGCGGCATGGAAGCTCTCAAAAGTCAAGGCAGACTAAGTATCCTCGTCTCAAGAGGCTTCCTCGACCTCCTCTTGACTTTTGATGGTCTGCACTCATTCAGCCTCCCTCCCGCCCTCCCTCCCTCCCTCGACGCAGGCATCTCCTGGTTCGGG